TGAGGACCAACAGGTCTAACCCTACTATGAACATCTTTAGAGATTAGATTGTTCTTATATACTAAAAGCAACCATCTCTGAGTTCACGCCTCCACCTTATTGGTGTTATCACATGTACTAGCAGGACCAATACTCTTGAATTAGGCGGAATCATTCAAAATTATATTATGCCAATATAAGGCTTGATTAAATAAATGCCATTGCTAGATGTTAAGGATTTTATAGTCCGAAAATAAACATTTGGCCATTGCTAGAAAATCATGCTTTGCAGTGAGCGAAGAATGTTCGCGAAACAATTCAAGCAATCTACCTTTAATTACGGAAACGTTATCAAGAGTGGAAGGGATATACTGATTTAATTGAGAGTACATAAGTACAAACTAAAAAAAAATGTGTTCCTTGCTAATTTTAGAAGCGGGGGATACAAAAATCGAGCCCACAAGAGAGAACCATCTGTTCAATCTCAGTCAGAGTAACAATGGAAAAATTAAAAAATGTGTTTATTCTAATTTCCATTGTCAACTCCGAACCTTCTAGTGATAAGGCTATTCAAGTAAATTTTATTTCTCGTTGTAACACGCTTTTCTAACTGTAACCTAATGTTAGCATGATAGCGAGAAAAACGGGAAAAAAATTAAAAAAAACTTTATCTTGCTACTAATGTCATTCAAAATAGGACGAAACAAGCGCAAGCACAAGGAGGAATAATCAAACAATTTATTTAACTCGTGTTTGATAAAGGCTCGCTCAATTGGAAAAGAATTAATCTAAATTCCCAGCAATCTTCGTCTAATGAAAGAGGGGCGACATTACAAAACAAACAAGACAAAAGAAAAGTTCGTTTTAATCTTAAGGAGTTAACCTTGTGCTTGTATATGAATATAAAATATCGCACATTAAGTGCTGGTGCTAATAAAATAGTACTCGATGTATAATAACAGAGCTATAATTTAGATTAATAATAAATATACATTTTCTTGTTCACCGGTAACACAACTCTGAGTTTCATGTGCGACGCAATCGTCAGGAAACTGAAAAATTGTCGTAGCATAATCTAAATATTGATATTTAATTTAAATTCTCATCGTATCTATCTATCTATCTATCTATCTATATATATATATATATATATATATATATATATATATATGTAAGTGAACATTGAAGTCAACACAATTTTATATTTAAACACGCTCTATCTCTGATATTGAGCACTTTATCCCATAAATATAGCATACATTAAGACTATATTTCTTCATATATATATATATATATATATATATATATATATATATATATAGTCTTAAGATGTGCTATATTTATGGATAAAGTGCTCAATATCAAAGAAAAAAGATAGAGCGTGTGTAAATAAAAAGTGAACATAGAAGTCAACACTCAGAGGTGACGGGTGTTTCATGCTAGATGCAATCGTCAGGCCACGATTGCATCTAGCATGAAACAGACTGTCGCCTCTAAGTTTTGACTTCTATGTTCACTTTTATATATATATATATATATATATATATATATATATATATATATAGGTACAATGAGAACGAATACAGTACCCTTCCAACATTCGTAACATTTAATTTAAAAGCGATCTTTACATATTTCTAAAGAATTAATATATTGTATTTTTTAATCCGACATATTTTTATTCAAACTTTATTTCTTTTTTTTGAACAGCGTTTTATTTCGTCTACCGGCATTCATACTTGATAGAGCATTTATTAAATTTTCTAAAGTGCGCAGGCCAGTAGACGAAGTAAACACTGTTTAAAAAAACAAAAACGGAACGTCTATTCAAATACGGGTATCCACTAAAAATAGCAATATATATATATATATATATGGAGGCACGGTGGATACCGGCACGGATTGAGGAATCGGAGCGCTGAGTTCGAATTTCAGTTGAATCCATTCACTTACGTGCTAATACTCTTGGGAAAGTTATTAATCCTCTTCTTTTTACTCCAACTATAGGTAAATAGCAGTACACATTGGGTTCTATAACCTTGGTCTAGGAGAAGAACAACTCTGAATTCAAAATCAGCAGAGGGTCGTTTGCGGACCTTGTATCACGCAATGCACCAGGTCTCTGTATTTGGCCCTTCAAAAAGTGTGGTTGGTTCTGCACAAATCCTTCACCTCTACAATCAAATCATAAGTGTACGAAAAAATAAAATTCGCCAGTCTTATTCAACCACGGTATAGACTGAGTTCGTGTCGGAATTAGAAATTTAACTGTGAAAGCTAAAAAAAAAATGGTCGAAAAATTAATACAAAATTCTGTCAGACGAAAGACGAGACAGTGACCAGGGGAAGGTGGAAGGTATTGGTCTTAAAGGAAAGAGGTTTTATAAAATTAAACCCGGATATTAATCTTATGACATTAAATTGGCGTTATATGAATAATGAAATGTTTGAATTTGAAATTAAGAGAGGAATAAAAAGGAGTTTAAAAAACTTAAAATATATAGTTATATTTGAAAATACAAAATCATATTTAAAAGTACTATTCCAAAGACAAGTTATATTTAAAAATAAGATATATTTAAATAAGTTATATTTAAAAATAAGTCATATTTAAATAATTTATCTTAAAAATAAGTGAAATTATACTTAAAAATAAGTCATATTTAATATAAAATCAACAGGTTATATTAAATAATAAAATATATTTAGAAATAAAAATATAATAAGATAAAATAAGTTATGCATTTAAAAATAAAAATATAATTAAATAAGTAAATAAATAAAATAAAAATAACTTTAAAGATAAGTTAAATCTAAAAACAAGTTATATTTAAAAATATAGTTATACTTAAAAATACAAAGTTATATTCAAAAACAACCCTAAAATATATAGATATTGAGGTGTAAATGATAAAAGGAAAGAGAGTTCTTGGAACAGAAGATATAATTAATATGGTGTAAAATGGGAATATAGAAATTAGAATTAGTTATACATTTGACATTTGAAGAGTTAGAGAAATATAGTAGCTAATAAAGTAAAACCTATATCATGGAAATTTGAATTCATTCCTCTGATTCAATAGTTGGCTTTGATTATTGTATTTTATTATTCTAATCTTTTTTTCTAAACATAAGTCATTCCTAAGACTATTAGGAGTATGTGCGGAACCCATAATCTTCGAAACTATCTGTGGGTTCAAACATTTCTCCTTCAATTCCTAAAATTTATTTGGAAGAGCTGTCTGGCGTTTAAATTTAGGGTTAGTAAATGAGTGCCTATGGATATAAAATCTCTGTCCCCAACCCCGCGGAAATTCGCATGTAAACATTATAATTTTTCATATTTTCTTTGGGGAAAATGGTTGCTTGATATATAACACTGGTAGATCTACATTTGCCCTCTACTGGACAATTTTCTTTAGATCTTTAGATTTCGTCGGTTGAAATAAGCTCATTCCCCATATGAGGTGATTTTGGATTTTATTGTGCATTAATTTCTGCTAGGTAATAATAAATACATTGAGCTCTTTTATGGATCAATTTTAATATTTTCAAGGTCAACTTGGACTATATTCCAACGAATTTATTACCTTTACTATATATATATATATATATATATATATATATATATATATATATAAATGGGACCTTACCTATAATAACATAATGGACTATTCCATACGTAATAAATACTGCGCCTCAAGAGGAAGCAGGGAGTTCAGTCTGAAGTTTGGAGTGAGGTCTGTCAGAAGTCCGTCAGGAGTCTGTCAGTCAGTCAGAGCGAGCGAGTCAGTCAGTCGAGTCAGAGGCAGTCCGAAACAGAACCGTGTTCAGACAATTACTACAAGACATTGGAAGAGTTATATTGGTCGAGACTACATTGTTCTCCCTACTAAACCTGATTGTTCGTACTAACACTTTTTACTTCTCTGTATATATTCCTGTTTGTACTATATCTGTGTTATTCCATATACGTGTTCGAGTTCTTCTTTATTGGTTCTACCTTGGACCATCACCGTGGTACAAGGACCTGGACCATAACAATATATATATATAGTAAAAGTTTTATTTTTACAAAAAGAAACAATATATATATATATATATATATATATATATATATATATATATATATATATATATATATATATATTTCCTTTTTGTAAAATAAAACTTTTACTTCTTAGTCAATGAATGTTAGTTTCTGCATATTGAGAAGGAGAGATTTCCTATGCTTTGATCACTAAGGCTAATTTTGACAGCCCTTTCAGAACTATAAAAGATAGTTGCTTTCCTTCTTGCAGAAAACCGAATTTGATAAATGTCATTATTTCCTTTTCTCTTATTTCTTCTAGAAAACTAAATATCATTCAGTTTTCTTTCTGTGTTAATTAAAATGGAAAAAGCTGATTCTACATCAGGTAATAATTAGTGACTCAGTATTTTGAGTACTTACTGTTTATTCCAACACCACATATAATATTAAATTTATTACTCGTTCCATTCCCAAAGAATAGTTCTCCATTAATCGTAAAAAAGTGTGTCTAGCATTTTTTTGCTTCTGGCTTCTGTTTGAATTATAGCCTTGTTTCCTTTCAATACGGTTAGTGACCCACTGTCTTGTTGCTTAAGAAAGCGAGAAAAATTTGCAATGCTATTAAATAACAATTACATTTCGAAAGTAAAATAAAACCTAATAAATAACAGGTCAGCATCAGAGCTGTTTCGACTTGAAGGCACTCTGCAAATCAGGATGATTTCTCATCTTCACCATGGCTGCTCGTTTCTGAGTATGCCCGTTTGATCAAAACCGTTTGTGTTTCTTAAATACCCACAGATTCAACCTATAGTTTAGTAACTATGCTGAGTGGGAATTAGTTATGGTTCAAGATTTTTTAATGGTCCTGCATATATATATATATATATATATATATATATATATATATATATATATATATAAATTATATTACGGTAAGTTTTAACTCCTAAAGACTGTGTTGTACCTGAAACTTAAAGATAATCAAATGGATAAATATAGGTAAATGTACGCGCAAGCGTTCGTATATTATAAATGCATCTCGCGATAACCAGAAATATTTAGACAAACGGTGTAAATCCAAAATTCGCACGTGACGATTGCAGGCAGTATGAAAACTCCGAGTTGTGCGATCAATGTAGGGTATTATATATTTTTTTAATATATACGCGTGTGCGCGCGCGCGTGTGTTTGTTTGTGTGTGTGTGTGTGCAAAATTACAGATATAACTAAAAAAGGACAATATGAAGAAAGAAAATAGAAAAACTTATCTTACCCGACGCGTTTCGTCCTCAGAAACAACGTCTCAACGGGCAGATATCCGTAGATGTCCATCTGGTAACAGAACTTTGTGTTAATTTGTTTGAGATAAAGAAAACTCTCAACATGATTGCAGTATAAATTTTCTTTTCAATTACACACACACACACACACACACACACACACACACACACACACACACACACACACACACACACACACACACACAAAACACATGCACGCACACGCACATTTAAATACAATTCTACAAATTATGATTTTATTGTTGAGGACCGGGTGTGTTTGCGTGTTTGTTGTATTTCAAGAAAATGGTCGGACTTGAATTAAGTCCAACTGAAGATCAAAGGAAAACAAACAAGACCGATATATATATATATATATATATATATATATATATATATATATATATATATATTTATATTTATATATATATATATATATATATATATATATATATATATATATATAATACATATTTTAAATAATATGTATTAAATAAAACAATTTTACAATGGACAATAACATTTGTGTGTGTGTGTGTGTAAACATTGGTGTCTGTTCTTTGGTGAATGTTCGTATTTTGGTGAATGTTCGTACGTACGTGCATGTGTGTATAATGTTCATGGCGTCTCCCACAAATGGGAAGACGCGGATCTTCTAAGAGAGCTTACATTGTAGTCGCTGAAATGAAGAAATGAAAAAGTGGGACCGGAAGTGCTTACAATCATCATAATCATGATCAACATTATTGATGTTGTTATAAAAAAAAATCCTTTCCTCAAATAAATAGTACTTTTAGTATATTTACCCGGCCTCTCCATCAAGGCTGGATGTGACACAAGGTCTTAGCTTTCAATGTGAAATTAGTCCTAAAAATATGTGCATCAGGAACTATGAGGTTATCGCATAGAAAAATCGACTCGAATAATTAAAAACCGATGGCAAAAAGTCGTTTTACATCGGTTATGGGAAATTTGCCCCGGCTTTCCCACATGAAAGGGTTAAGGTTAAAAAATGCGACAAAATTGAATAAAAACAGCAACAACGGCTTGAGTGATTAGAGCGGACAAATTCTCTCTTTTAGGCGGAATAATAAAGACAGACTCAAACTTCTGCTCGGTATGTAACAATAAAAGAAGAAAATGTTTATTTACTGACATGTACAAAAAAGGGTAAAGAGATAAACACAAATATGAGAGAAAGAAAGGGAGAAGAAAATTCCTTTAACTCTAAAGGAAGAAAAATGTTCATAAAAAAAAGAAAAGTCTTGCTCAAAATATTTTTCTGAGTGCCTAAAAAAATTATTTAAGCGAGTAGTAGATTGTTGTTTAAATTCTAAAACACTCACGGATTTGTTCAGAGTTCTTGTAAAGGTAGAAATTGTCTGAAGATTTGAATTTCCTAGTTGAGTCAGTTCGTAGGCTGGTGACATATCTTCTAGGTGCAAGGCGGCAGATCTCAATTGGTTTTTAGTACTGGGCCGACGTTCTTTCTTGACTGGCCATAGTAGGTAGATCTTTCTTGAAGATGACTGCCTTTCTGTCGCCGACCTCACGGACGGTGGTCGAATACTCACGATATTGAGTCACCCCCCCCCCCCCACGAGGGTGTCATGTGGCACAAGGCCTTTTTAACGTGGGCACTTCCGAGCCATTAGGCTCGGCCAAAAAATAGCCCATTTGAACCAGTATAAACGGGTTCAGGGCCAGTTTTACCTCCCCGAAGGAGACTCCACCCTTCGGCGTAGCCTCCTTCGGGTTCCTCCCGCCCGTAGGAAGAGAGTTCAAACCGAGCAGTCGGTTCAAAAGTGATACTCACTACCAAATAGGCGAAGATTTTCCATATTTATAGAGATTTAGGAGGCTCAGAATATCGGGACTTCTCCCTCCATAATTGTCATACAAATTTCCTGGTCCCTTCATTGGTTAGAAAATATATTCTTATTTCTGATAAGAATCAAGTTTTTGGGATCTGCTTTGGAAACAAAGGTCCGACAAGCTGTGAGCGTTTCCCCCAAACTTTATGGCACCATGGACAGGATAATGCTGGTTGAATTCATTTTTATATTTTCCAACTCTCTCGTTTATCAGAATATATATTCTTATCTCCGATAAGGCTTTGGGAACCGGTTTTGAAAGCAAGGAAAAACGTTTGGGTGAGGATTGGAAAATAAGCTAGAACGTAAACTTGTAAAATATTGTATTCGTGGTTCTCAAATTAAATTCCAATACAGTCACCAATCAACAGAGCGTAAGTCAATGTTAGTAGAAGCAGAAAAAACATTTGAACAGAAATATAATATTTTAAAGTTATTATTCGAGGGTGTTTTTTTAAAGTAATATTTAATAAAAAAAAATTATGTAATCATGAAATATTGATAAATTTACTAATTAAAGCTAACTCCAACAATTAGAAATCATATTTGCCTCAGCATTTTAGGGATTGTCAGCAAGGAATCCTGTTAAGTGTCGTTGTATTCAAGACTATAAAAGAAAGAGACATAAATCCTTTCTCTTTTTGCTCCGAGATGTAGTAGCGACAACAATGGGACTCTTACATTCCAGGAGAGACATTTCTCCGGCAGTTCGACTGCTTAATTTTACACAACCATGTGACCCATTATTCCCCCACACAGAGACTAAAGCTAAACACATTTTTCTTTCATTTTTTTTTTGATCGTCCTGTACAAACGTAAATATAATTTTCTCTTTACTATCTTTTATAAGCTATGTTGTTCTTTATATAAAACTACATATGCAATTTCTCCACGTGTTGAATTCGTTTCTTCTGAAAGTGCTAATCCCATCCAGTGCTGAATTTACATATAGGCTTAGCAGGCTGAAGCCTAGGGCATCAAAATCTAGGGCGCCTCCGACCAAGGTGTATAATATTTTGACAATGTCATAAGCCTTTTTTTTTACACATGGTGTCATAACACACTGTAGACTCTAAACAACCTTTCAGTAATTTAAAACCTCGTCATCATGATCATCGGCTTTACTCAAATTGTTTAATTTAACACTCTCCCATTTTAATCTACTTGTAAGAATGGAGGATTTGGAAGGGCCTCACAAGTGGAATAGCCTAGGGCTCCTCTTCATCTAAATCCGGCCCTGACCCCCATCCATTATAATCTGTAGCTTCTTCTCGCTACAACAAAGTTTTTGTTTGCATACATTTCTGCTTCTATTGTGACTTCTGAATAAATATTTGATGACTTTTAAAAAAAATTCTGCCGGTGATTTTAGTTCTTGTTACATATGTTTTACGATCTGGTAGCAACAATAGCGCGATTGTTGCCATCCAACGAGACACTTCTCTGGCAGTCCGACTACTTAATTTTGCATAACCACGTGATGCATCACACACACACACACACACACACACACACACACACACACACACACACACACACACACAAACTAGAGCTAAGCGACCTGTGCACACGTAAATATTATTTTCTCTTTATCATCTTGAATTAAATATCAATGGGTGGGGGTCAGATTAATGTTTGATTTTTAAAACTTTTGCCAGTGATTCCAGCTCTTGTTACATATGGTATGTTTCACGATTTTTATGTTACCATTGAAAATTTTTTTAAATTATAAACCGTCTCTAATCTTAAGAGTTGGGTGTATTCATATCTGTACTGTTATTGGTACTAACCTGGCATCTCGACTTCAGTCACTTTCCTGACATGTCTGTCTTTTCTATAAATATTTTCACGGCAGTTGTTATAATCAGCTCTCCTCCGTGGTGAATTTAAGCCTACTACTAGATCAGCTACTAGGTCTCATCATTTCAATGTTAAACTAAATATATGTAACCGTAAGTTCTATTCTAATAGTTTCTTCTCTCACACTTCTCGCTTCTGGAACTCTCTTCTGGTTTCTTGCTTCCTCTCCACCTACGATCACCAAAAGTTAAATGCAACATCAATCGACATTCTGTTCCTTTAATGTCCTTTCTCTTCACTAAATTTTCTCATTCTCTTTTCAACCCTTGCGTCTTAGTGGCATTATCGCCTTGCTCGGAGTGAAATGATAAAGAAAAAAGATGCGTGTGAAAATTGTGGGTATATTGTTGTTTGTGTTCCTGTGTGCGTATACGTGCTTGAAATCTGTATTTAATTTCTATGATGAATGATTTTTAAACTTTCAGAACTTTGTGATATACCCATTGCTGCTCTTGTATGCTTGATGTGTATGTATTATAAACGGGTGGAAGGGGTAGAGGAAATGATTGCTTTAGGTCAGGAAGAAATGATTAATAATAAATAAAAAAAACGAAAAGAAGTTCTCGTCATTACTTATAATTTTTTTTTTTTTTTACTGAAAACTCTGTGAGTTAAAACTAAAAGTAAAACTTTCTTTATAGGGAAAAAATTCTTATGTAAATCCATGAACAGGCCGACAGAACCAGCTACAAGGTAGAGCTATTCCGTTGGAGACGAAAAAAAAAAATATTTTGGTAGGATTCGAACCGCAAACATAAGACGTGAAAAACGAAGATCAGGAACATCTGATCGCAACGTCGGAACGCTATTTTAAACCGACTGTGTTCTTTTTTTTTCAGTCACTTTTATCGCCTTTTAATGACTAATTTTACTTTTCTTAAAGCAAAACAAAAACAATATTAATTAATAATCGCCATTTCGATTGACAAATCTAGCAAACTGAAGTATTTTTTTAAAAATTTAACTTTTAAAATCTAATAACAATCCTTTTCAAAAGCAACGCGTTCGATTTCTACTTACTTCGTCTTGTCAAACGACAGCTTTTTTTTTAACTTAGAGAGTGAGTTTTAGTTTAACCAACGTTAATCCCCACATTGTGATTCATTATAAATGCCATTGTTAAATTCTGCAGTAATAATTTTCCTTGTAATGTTGACAGTGGCTGTTATTTGTCCTTTTTTATCCACTGAAAAGGCGCTTTTAATCTGTTGGATTGAAACTACTGGCGACGGACTGTAACGTCAAGAAGAGACCAAAATTACTAAGGCAGTGGGTTACGATTGCTAAGTTATGCGGAACAGGGCACAAAAGAAAGGACTTTAAAATCCCAAGGAAGAACAGGATAGAAGGATTATTCCTGCTGAGACGAAAAATTAAAAAGAAAAAAGAAAAAAAGAAGGCATATACTGCGACTATAACTTATTATTACTTTATAAACAAACTGTTGATTTTCTTTAACAGCTTGTTTTTTTTCCGCCTGTCTGTACGTACGCAATCAGGGCCTTGTTTGCACGCAAATCAAATAATCTCTCAGACAGGAACGTGTACAAACACACACACTCGCACACACATACACACGCGCGCGCACACACATACACACACACGCGCGTGCGCACACACACACAATCTCTAGACAGGTGTTTGTATTAGAAGGAAAAATCTATTCAGTCGGTTTCCACGGAGAAATATGACAGGTAAAAATTTTTAAATTTTTATCGCTAAGTTCTTAAACTTTCTAACTGCAGATGATATGATTTTTCTTTTCTTAGTCTGGACACGTATGTGTATGTATGTATGTGTGTGTGCGTACTGTGTACGCATTTGTTTTTTATTTTACTTAGTTAAAAAAAAAAAAAAAAATAATAGTTATTGGTTGTTTTTCGGTGTCCTGTGTGTTGACTTGAATCAATCTCAAAAAAAAAAAAAAAAAATAAACCTGTCATGAAGAATTTACTTCTTTAAAAATTTAAGAGTCTTAGAATTGGAAAACAATTTTGTTTGAATTGCAATTTTCTTTAATGATTAGGAATGACCTGATTATCAAAAAATAAAACAAAATAAATAGAAAAAATACAAAGTTTTATTTTAAACTAAAAAAAAGCAACAAAAACCTGTATAATTGAACGACGGTTATTTTTTTTTAAATAATAATCAAGTTAAAAAAGTATTTAACATTTTTTTTTACATTATAAATTCAGTGCTTTCTCTCTTTTAGATTGAGTTGGACAAAGTTAATATTCTGATATGTCCTCAGAGTTTAATAAATAATTAATATGAAATTTAGTTGTATTGATTTTTTTTACAACTAATGATGTCTACTGATCAGTGAGAAGAAATCATTAAGAAAATAGCCAAAAAACATACAATCCACATTAAGTTTTAAGGGCAAGGCTGTTCAAAGAGATGACATAAATAATTTTCCACTCAGTATATTTGTAATGTGTTTCGCTAATGATGTTTTATACTTTCATATTGTTTTACTTGGGAAGTGTTTGTGGTGTGAGCATATGATGCATTGATCTGTACACTGTCAGTGTACACACTGTGTGTAACAGGTTTGTATATGTATTTGTGAGTAAACCGGCAAAGAATCATGTAAGGCTGTGTGTGTGTGTGTGTGTGTGTGTGCGCGCACGCATGTGCATCTGTATTGTTTTGTCACCTGTCTGTCTAAAACGTAATGAACATAGAAGTAAGAACAATATCTATCTATCTATCTATCTATCTATCTATCTATCTATCTATCTATCTATCTATCTCATTTGTTCTTTAACTATCATTCATTCTATATCAGGGCCTATGGCCACATTATATTGAAACACTGTTTCCCCTACAATCACCAATTTTAAGCAACGGGCTTAATCAGTACCTAGATGGTTGACTGCTTGGGAATACCAGCTTGTAGTGTGAGTGGTATAATGGATAAATGCTCAGATTTATTAATTGGGGAACCGATTTCCAATTCCAGATTTGTATTCACTTACATGCAAATATCCTTGAGAAAGGTATGAATCCACCTCATGATCCACCAGATTAAGAGATGGATTCATAACTTACAATCTAAAAATATTTGAATCATTTCACCCCAAACAATGCAATAAAACCACTAAAATGTAAAGGGAGTTACTGAATGTTAGGAAGTATGAGAAAAAAATATTAAGGAGAGAGAAAACTAAAAGAACAAGAATTAAGAAAACAGAAGATAACAACTGACATGACATTTCAATTTTTAAAGATCAAAGTTGATAGAAAAGCAAGAAGCTGGAAACAAGTTCCACAAGCGAGAAGTGTGATAGAAGAAATATTAGCATAGAAATTACAGTTACATTTAACCATTTTAACTGTAAAACAATGAGGCCTTACTGCCAATCTAGAACTGCAGTTAAATTCATAAAATTCTAGGTACATAGAGGAAAGCTCATCAGAACAATTGCCATGAAAGTATTTATAGAAAAAACTACACTCTGTTGGTGGGAAAGTGACTGAAGCCAAGATGTCAGACCAGGATCATCAATAACATTGCAGATTTTTCTTTGTATATTATGAAGAATCTCTAAATATATAGCAGGAACACCAGACCATATGTATGTATTCAAAGCAACATCCAATCGTAGATATATGAATATGTAAGACATTCTGAAAAAAAAAATTATCAGCAGACCAAGTAATTAATTTGATATAATCTTTTCACTTCATGTCAGAGGAAAATGTTAGCCTCAGAAGTTACAATGATTCACTCCATATATATTAATAATAGAATGTTTATATTTAAATAAGTACTCAGTTTAAGTTTCATGATTTTTTTCATTCAGTCCTCAGCTGATTTTTACATGAACTAAATTTATTACAGATCATATATATATATATATATATATGACATTACACATTATGAAGTGGACAAAGTCCGACAACTATTTTAAGACATTTTTATGTTTATACATTCTTTTTTACTTAAATATTTGTATCTATAAAAAGAATGAATAAACATAAAAATATCTTAAAATATATATATATATTTTCACCTCCAATGCCTAAATTCAAGAAAATATCTGTTTGTTTGTTTGTTTTATCTGTATCAAGGGCATTAAGCGTTGTTCGATTTGAAATCTGTCTACCCAAACTAGAGAGAATATATATATTATTTAGCCAGTAAATTCTCTTTTAGGCATGTCTAATTAAATAAATTACAGACATTATGTCTGCTTATTTTTAACATAATCTGTTCATACTCATGAATAACCTTTTGTGCATTGCAATTCCATAGAGGATTTTTTTCTTATTCTAATAAATGCTAAGTATGACTGTCAACTGTTGCATTTAAAAGCAAAAAGAAAAAAATTACAGCAATGGATAGCAACACACAGTTTTATATTAAAACTTGTACCCTTGAAGATGATCTCGGAAGAAGATTGAATGTACTTGGGAAATAAAAGTGATTTTCACAGTTATAATACATTTCACACATTATTTAATTGCAATACACAGAAGGTTATTCATGAGTATGAACAGATTATGTTAAAAATAATCACATATAATGTCTGTAATTTATTTAATATATATATATATATATATATATATATATATATATATAAGGTGCGTTGGATAAATTGTCATTTAAATTAAGTAAAAATGAAAATAATCCTGATATCCCATTTTAACAGATATATTTACCAAAATTATACAAAGATATCTTGAAATACTAAAGTGTAAATTTATTCAATAAAATTGCCATTGACTTTAAACACCACCTCCATATGACTTTGGAATCTCCTGCAACTCTTCTGGACAGTCTCCTTGTTTAAGTTGGTGAATGCTGCTATAATCCTTGCCTTCAGTTCATCTTTGGTGTTATAAAGCAGTTTGTTGCTCTCTTGCTCAACTGTACCCCACACATAATAATCAAGTGGGTAGCAGTCTGGGGTGTTAGGTGACCAGATGTAAGTGGCAATGTAGTCTGACTGCCATTACTGCATTCTCCTGCTTGTGTAGCATGAGTCCTATTGCCAGACATAGGATCTTCCAGCATCCACCCTCTTAACTCAGGACAGTACTACCTCCTCAAGGTACTTGATGTTGAGTTTGAAGTTCTGTGGTACGATGAATGGTTGTATAGTGTTGCCATCACTAGTGATTACTCCAAACACCTTTGTAATCACCATTACTCAACCAACTCTTTCCAAATCCTCTGCATGGTCCTCAGATTGACACCCAAATACTTTGAAATGTTTGTATTGGAGCTTCTGGCATAAATGCCAAGCAGTACAGCATACCATTTGCAAATTTCTGGCAGAGTGAATTTCATCATGGTGGTCTTTTTTCTTACAGACAATGCCCAACCGATCATACTATACTGTGCAGTTGACAAAATCAAAAACAAACGATGCGCATGCATAAAATCAAAAAATTAGAAAAATTCTAGAGGATCATGAAGACAAATGGATTTTGTGCCTCAAAACACTTCATCCAAATGGACTTAACGTCAAATTTAGCAACATAGATAGAATTAATATATTACTCCATAAATCAAACCCTATCCACATTTCTCACCCACACAAAACAGGAATGCTTGCGGAGATATTAAGGTCTCATACTTATACACACACCCATACTAATATATACACTTACACACATCATACACACTCCCAAAGAACAAAAACATAACATACACTTAGCACATACACATCCCCTACCCAGCAACCAATAAAACTGTCAAAATGACCAAGGGAATTCTGAGTCACATGAGTCACCACAGCCTCTATCTTAAAAACGGCTTAAAAGAGGCCATTTGACCAACAAAGGAACTGACCAAAATTAACGATAAAAACAAATGAAAACTACAGCTCACTTTATTCAAAAAACAGTCATTCACATTATTCAGTAACAGTCATTCACTCCTGTAGTTCACTTCTACTAACAAGCAGGAATTTTTTTCATGATGATGGCCATGCTGGCCAAAACTAGTCAAGGAACCTAATTAAAATAATAAAACAAAAAATATTAATATACCACCCAGTGTGTCTGAAAATTTTCATTTTTTAATATTTTTTATTGTTCAAAGCATATATATATATATATATATATATATATATATATATGTCTGTGTGTGTGTGTGTGTATTTGCATATATATGTACATGCATTATGTATACTTGTACACATACATACATACATAAACATATATCCTATATATATATATATATATATATATATATATACCAATACATGTATATGTGTCCCCCATATGTACCCTTGTATACACACACACACATACATACAAATATAATATATATATTAGAACCAACTTTTTAATATATGTAAATAGGCAAGCTGAGAAAGGAAGATTTTGCCCCACTCTTAGCAGATTTTCTAATTCAAAGTTTGCTTAATGAATGAAAATCAAACAGCACAAAAATAAAAATCCCAGAATTTCTTTTTCTTTTTCATCATTCACTGATGAAGCTTAAATAAAAGTGAAACATGTTAGATTCATAAACATTTCCTATTTATTATTTATCTTATCGTTCTGTTCAATTCTGATCCTCCATATTTGATTTTTATTTGATCCCAGTTCATATATATATATATATATATATATATATATATATATATATATATATATATGTGTGTGTGTGTGTGTGTGTGTGGGCATGCATACAACCCCTAAAACCCTACAATGAGGGGAGAATTTGACTGGGGCTCTGGACAATTGCAAATTTTGACATCATTCCGAGGTCTTGTTTTGTTTTTTTCCAGATCCATGAATTTGTTTTGCTCAGTCTTAGTTTCGAAAAAAACATATAAAATTCAATAATATTTTATCTATAGCATTGATTGTGTTAAAATTATTCAACTTTTTAACAAGAAAATTTTACGTTCATGATAAAAATTGCCACAAAACATTGTTAATTATTTAATTTGTATTTATTTTTAATTTTTCTAGTTGAATTGTTTACTTGTATTGCAAATGATCCATTATTGTAGACAATTAGGTTAAATAAAATTTGTATTTTATATGAATACAATTCTATGAAAATTGAGATCTAGTAGAGTGGGGTGTCCAGTATCATAGATTGGGTGGGTTATCATAGATTCAAGGGTGGGGCACAAGAACGTTGCACCAACCATATATATATATATATATATATATATATATAATTTATTTGAAAGTTATAACATAAATATGTTATAAAATCACTACAAAAATAGCCATTTTGTTTCAACACTTCTGGTGTCTTATCAAGTGATAGTGTTAAATGTAGATTAAATTTAAAATTTAAAATTGGTAATTTTTAATTTTCAATTTTATAGTATAATTTAATATTAATTAGTTAGAATGATTTCTATTTTAGTCTAACCTTAACATTAAGGCACTAATTATTATAACCAAGGTTCGTTGTCAAGTTTCTTGAATTTTCATATACTTGTATATTGATAGGTCATTTCAGCTTATGTAACAACATTTACCCTAGTGAGGGGTGTTTGATTGATTTGAACCTTTTAAAACCTTTTATTCTACATTCAACATTATCCCTTGATAAAACACCAGAAGTGTTGAAACAAAATGGCTATTTTTGTAGTGATTTTACAATATATTTATGTTATAATTTTTGGTTAAATTATATTTGCTCTACTCTGTATTGAGCACTCTTTTAAGAATAGTATTTTTTAGTTATTGTAATTTATTCCATATGCACCAATCCTATACTTGTATACATATATATATATATATATATATATATATATGTGTGTGTGTGTGTGTGTAAGTGTATTAATATTATCTAACAATTCAGAAATGAGTTCTCTTTCTTTCATTGATTATGGAGCTGTTGGAACTGCTGAACAACCCGAGGTTCTAACCTCAGACCACCATTCTGTGGAACTGAACTGGGCTGATTCTTTACTTGAATACAAATATACAATGCTCACCAGCTCAGAAAAAGTGTACACGTGCATTCAGAAATTAGTTCCAGAGGAGGATGACACATGGCTGACTGTATACACGTAAGTTCTCAAGAAAATCTTTTTCTTTTTTTTTTTTTTTATTTCTGCTTTTTTCGTTATTTCAGTCAAGAGAAATCTAATACCATTTGCTTATATGGGATTATCAAAGGGTAACTCTTTAAATTTTAGTAGAAAAGAGACGGATACTGTCATGAACTCAGTAGACTCTGTGTTGACAACTGTACACTTAGAAATATATTTGCTATAGATTCTTTTTTTTTAAATGTTGCTTCACTGCAGGGGATTGCTATCCAATTTCATTGTGCATTGCACAGTGACAAGAAGAAATAAATAAATAAATGAATAAATAATAGTAACAATAATTATGCTTCAATATATGAATGGAAATGTTACACACATGCATATACAGGTACAAATGTGAGTACATGTAGAAATAATGTATGTGAGTGTGTATGCATTAGTGTTTCTGAATATTAAAATAAGGATGAAAGTATTTTTAAATAAAATTCAGGAAATTTAGTTGTAATATTAAGTTTATTAGAAGTAATGTCATTTCTTATCAATTTTTAACTTCATCTTATTTTTCTTGCTTTTTTACACCTCATAGTAATAAGATGTAATATGATTTTAATTTGGTGGCAAACATGGACCTTTGTGCCTGCAAAAAAAACAAAGTGTCAAAAGAACAGTTTTTCTCATAATACCACTTTTATTTTAACTAATTTTACTCCTCAGCAATGTTTATTGTTTTAAAAATCAGTGGTTAGAATTACAATAAAATATGAACATATGATGAAAGGGAATTTATACATTTTCTTTTGTTCTTGAGAATTTACAACAAAAATATTAAACACTATTTATTTATTACATTGTTTATTTGTAAGAATAATTTTATATTTACAACTTTCTAAAAACTAATATAGTTGTGTTAAGACTAATGCAATATTTATCATTTACTAATTTCTAAAGAAATAAATATGAAAACAATTTTATTGATATATAATTACAGTAATAAAACAGAATGTTGACAGTACCTTTTTTATGATAATTCCTCACCCAGATAGCTTCTTCCCCAGAACAGTTACAATTTGGAACAAACCCCAGATCCTTCCTTGAACACTATAATCATCCCATCTTCAATTGAAGGGTCAACCATTATCTATCCTACAAATCCTTATAATATTATGACCCTTGCTCCCTCACTATTACTTTGAGTGACACTTAGGCTTTGTATTGTGTATCCAACCAACTCCTCTGTTCCCACTGGTCCGATTTCAACAATTCATAGCTCATTCAAAAGCCCTAGAAAAGTTAGGTGCAGGGAATGATTTTCATTGAGCTCAGATTCAGGGTTGCCAGATTATGCGAGGTTAAAAATATATATTAATATATTATACTAGCCATTATCATTGCTTTCATGGTTTAAGGGGCGTAACTCTTATTTTCCTTTTGTATCCAAAATTGCAGCTAGCTTAAAAGCCACCCTATTGGACATCAATTAAGATAGCTTCTGTGGAGGACTCTTGGTTTGGCCATCATCACAATAGCTAGGGAGGAGTATATGCAATAGGCATCAATACACAGCAGAAGAACTCAAAATTGATTACTGCATTTAAGTATTGAATTAATGTTTAAGCTTACCTTTTAAAAGAAAATAGAAATTAGAATTAGTTAGACATTCAACATTTAAAGAGTTAGAGAAACATAATAGCTAATTAAGTAAAGCCTATATTATGGAATCTATATGAATAAATTCAAAATTGGCATGCAATTATCCAATGAATTTTAGGATTAAAAAGCTTTGACTCTACTTTATAGTAATTTATGTACTAAATGCTCAATATCTGTATTATATATTATCTACTTCTAGGCAATATCACTCTTCACGTTTAACTAATTTGCACATTGATTTTTAAAAAGTTTATTTCATTAATTAACTGTCCTTCATTACTATTATTTAATTCAAGGATTGTTTTGATTTTCATATCAAAAATAGTCCTGTTTAAAAATATTGTCTTATATAGTGCAGAAAAGTGTTTGAAATTTGCATTTTACTTGGACTTCAACAAGTTGGCATCTATTTGTAAAACTTTCCTTAACTATAAAAAGCCAAATTATGAATGAAATATTCATTAAAAATTTTTGTTTCAAAGATTTCAAGTATTAAATATATCTTACTTTGCAAAGTGATAGCGAGCAGGCAAAGTCTGCTAGTAATTATAATAATTGCAAGTGTCAAGAGGGTTGTTTTGCTTCTTTTTTTTTTTAAGTATTTTAAGTTTTTAAGTGTGAAGGATAAAGCAGTGAAGGGCTTGCAACCCCCCCCCCAATTGGAAACTGTCTGGGCAAATTAAGTTACCTGAATGATTTCTAACAGAGCTTCAATATGCACTGCTTTTATCAAAACCTGTTACCATATCCCATTTGGCTGTGATGCATATGTCTAGTATATATTTATCAGGACTGGGTGTCATGATGTCTGTTATTTGGCTTTGTATATTTGTATCCCAGTATCACTTTGTTGGTCTGCTGCTCTATCACTGAATAATAATAATAATAATAATAATAATCCCATTGCTAACAAGGTGATGTAGACAAATACCATACCCATCATTGGTTACATAGTGTAGGCTTAAAAGCTGAAACTGAAGGTTCTATTCTTGCTGCATAGGACCAATGCTTGTTAACTAGAAACCACCTCCACTCTATGACATCTCAATTTTCATAAGGTAGTATTTATAAAATACAAATTTGATTGTAACCTAATTATGTACAATAATGGATCATATACAATATAGGTGAACAATTCAACTAGAAAAATTGAAGATAAATCCAATGTATCTAAATAGAAATTATAGATATTTCTTAATAAATAGATCATTCCATTTTAAATAAATCAACAATGTTTTGTGGCAGATTTTAACATTGAGATCTTTCTTGTTAAAAAGTTGAAGAATTTTAATGCATTCAACATTATAGATAAAAAATATTGAATTTTATATAGTATTTTATTTTCAAGACTTAGCATGAACAAAACAAATTCACAGATTTGCCCCCCCACCAGAATAACGTCAAAAGCTGTGAATATTTTTCATCCTTTTAATAGTCAGTTGTGCTTAGTTTAATTTGTAACATATATAAATGGAGGTAGAAAATAGTAAATGCTGATAAGATAATGAGGGTCACAAAGCAGGCTTGGAACCCCTCATTGGGGAGTTTTGAGATAGTACACACTGGCCCTGAGCTGTCTAGAGATGAAACTTTGATTATATTGGAGTAATTTTCAAACCTAATTATGATACATTTTAACAAGGAATGCAATATGGCTGTGGTGAACACATGTCAGTACAAATACAAAAGAGGTTCCAAGTTGTTGGCATGTACAGATATGCACAGCTCTGCAATTTGTCCAGATCTGGATCTTTGACAACTGTCTCATGCCAATAAATGTGATGGGAAAACTAGCAGTAAGAAGTTATCAGTTGGCTATTGTCAGAGATTCGGTGTTTTGTGAAAACACTCCCTTATTGCATTTTAATCTGGAAGTTGCATGCCATGCCCTCTGCTGTGGTTTCTGAAGCAAAGTATCTCACTTGTCATTACCAAGTTTTATTTTGTTTCCACTTGTCTTTTTTCTTTCTCTATCAGTTACCCTGTAATTCTTATGAAAACAATCTGCTGTTTCCCCCAGCATAAACACACTCATGCCTTATTTTATAACAATGTCACTCAAAAATAACCATGCAAAATTTTTCAGCCACCTGACCTTTTTTTGTTTCTCTTTTCTGTTCCACTGTTAAAAGGCAAATACAGTTGAACTTTGGTTGTCATGAACAAATCAGTTCAAGAACAAATTTTCCAAACAAAAAAATATCTCAGGTGATGAATGGTTTCTCAAACAATAAATCTACAAACTGGCAACAATGTTGCTTGACAAATTGGAAGTATCGGTTGGAGAGCATCAGTCGTGGTATAACTTTCACTGTCACTCTGATAAAGTAGTATCAAGCCATCACATAAACATTCTTAATGGCAATGCAGATGTTATATTTGAGAAACATTTCAAAATGTAGATAAAAACAAATCTCATAGGACAAATTTTTAGTGAGACAGATACACAGTGAGTCTTGAGCAGAGTTGAATAGTACTCAGAGACAGAAAACAGAAAGAGAAGAATTTCAAGAAAGACAGTTACCTGATGTTTTTATGGAAGGGGACTCTCCATCCAAACAATAATATATCTCACCTTCCTCAACACCTCCCACTCATGCCATCAATTCTCCTCCATATAGGTACAGCAAAACTAAATGAAGTTTTTGTCTATATTTTATCTGCTTAGTATTGTGTCTATCTTTTTTATGTTAGATTTAATGATTTTCATTGGTATTGTATATGAACTTGTACACAAAGTACTGTTGTAAAAGTTTAAATAAGCAATTATCTGGGGTCCAGGAATGGATTAATTCATTTTACATTGATTCCTATGGAGAAAATAATTTTGTTTTATGAACATTTCTAGTTGCAAACAACTTTCAGGAACAAAGGTTCCATTGTACTTTTTTTCAAAAAGAACTGATTTTTTTACTACATGTAGGATAGATTCTGACATCAAATTCTTGCATTCTTTCATTATTTGAAAGCATGACAAAATTTTCCAAATAACCCAGGATGGAAATAGTGAAGATGTCACTAAGGAATTTGGAATATCAAGAAATAGAATTTCTGAAATCCCCTCAAATTCTCAAAGCATTGAAAGGATTTTGACTTGTCCGAACTATTGATGCATTTGAAAACTGCAGCATTGGATAATCTGGAGACTGATCAATGAGGTGCAACTTGTCCAATTTGGTGTCAGTAGATAACATTAAGTGCCTCCTTCAAGAACACAGACTGGAAAGTTTCATTGAAATGAAGAAACCAGCTTTAAACAAAAAGTGTTTGAAGGCAACATTAAGTTGGTCAAAATTGTATGAGCTTAGGATGAGATCACCTTCAGCAGGGAAACAAAGATGGGGTGACATTCTGATATGTGTGAATTTTTTAGGAGGAAAGCAAAATAACCCACATTAACTGAAAACAGTGAAGTTTTTCAGGTAAAAGTTGGATACTTTTGGTCTGGATAAAAAGTGATATTTCAAGAAAATTGGTTAAAATTGAAAATAGCTTGAATAGTGCCAAATATTTGCTGTCACTGAAAGGAACATTTGATACCAGACTTGGGTGAAGGCAAGATATTTTAGTATTACAGATATTCATTTTACAAATTGTATGCAATGTAACAGATACCAATTAATGAATGTGTTACTGTATTGAAAGATTAGCCAGATTAGAGCCTGGAATTAAATCATAGATTAAATGTTGTCAGAACTAATGAGTAGAATTCATCAGAAAAATCCATGCAATCTTGGGTTGTGGGAGCTCAATCACAGGGAATGGTATCTTGTTCCCATAAAGATGGCGAAGGATTTATATGCATCAGATCCCATGTACAATGAAGCTACTTGAAGTACTAAAAATATTAACACTGTATATTGATTGTTTGGGATCAATATTGTATAATAAATTTTCATTACAGACATTTTTCTGCTTTAAAACAAGGCATCTGACTTGGTTTATATGAAGTGTCTGAAATCTTTTGCATGGCCAGTTTTGGGGGGATGGGGGGGGTCATCTTGCATCTTCCATACTCGCTCGGAACACTTTCTAAAAATATGATAATTAAGTGTAAAAAAAAAGTTTTATCTGTAGACAGCACAATCAAAAGCATCCACTTATAAGATGGCAATTATTTGCAATAGTTTAAAATTGTCAAAGAACTTTGTATGGTAGAACATTAGCACAGTTGGGAAGTGTCATATGTTTTCAGGGTGAGTGAAATTGATTAGAAGGAACATTTGAGGCTCTGAGTTTTGGTACTGGTTTTGGTAGTGGGCATTGGGGATAAAATTAGCCTATGGGAGACCTCAACTTTGTATATAAGATGTAGGGTAATTTTTCAAGACATTTCTTGAGAAAACAAATTCATCTTATATACTGACAAATATGGTAAATTTTAATTTGCGATGGGTAAATTGTCGCCATTTTATTTTTTTAACTTTGTGCATACACATTATTTGTTTTTGTTTTGTCACTTGCACAGTATAGTAGGGTCATAGTAGGGTCAGTTGAGCACCAACTGTGAGAAAAAAAGAGAACCATGATGCATTTCACTCCTCCAGAAATTTGGAAACAGCATGATGCTGTACTGCTTTGCATTCATGCCAGAAGCTCCAACATGAACATTTCAGAGTATTTGGGGGTCAATCTGAAGATAATGCAGAGGATTCTGAAAGAGGTTGATCAGTCTAATGGTGATCATGAAGTTATGGAAGTTTGGAAAATTCACTCTGATTGTTCTGATAAGAAAAGAACTCTCAACACAGTGGCCTACATCAAATGCCTTGAGGAGGTAGTGCTGCCCTGGGTCAAAAGGGTGACTGCTGGAAGACTCTATGTCTGGCAACAGGACTCTGCACTATACTACACAAGCAGAAGAATGCAGTTATGGCTGTTAGACAATTTCTGTGACCACATCACCCCTTACAACTGGCCACCTAACTCCCCAGAATGAAACCCCCTTGATTATTATGTGTGGGGTGCAGTTGAGTCAGAGACCAACAAAACTCCTTGTAATGCCAAAGATAAAGTGAAGGCAAGGATTATGGCAGCATTCAGCAACTTAATCAAGGAAACCATCCAGAGGAGTTGCAGGAGATTCTGAAGTTGTCAGGATGCCGTGGTTGAAGCCAATGGCAATTTCATTGAATGGATTTACTCTTTAGTATTTCAAGATATTTTTGTGCAATTTTGGTAAATATATCTGTTAAAATGAGATGTCGGTGTTATTTTTATTTTTGCTTAATTTAGATGACAATTTATCTATCGTACCCTCTTCTTGGTTGCCAGTAGAATTTCTTTGGTTAATTCTGTTCTCTATTCCAGAGGCTATGGAGAGAGTGCAGTTGTGAATGACTTGAAGCCAAACACAGAATATATTTTTCGACTTCGTTTTCAGAGAAGTGAAACAAGTTTTTCTGAATGGTGTGATCCACTCAAAGTGGTAACAGAGAGTAAGTTTACCATTTTTTTTTTTTGACTTGAGAATCTTGTTTCCTTTTAGAAACATTACCACTTCAGTAAGTACCTGACTCCTACTGCTATCCTCTACTATTACAAGTGCCAGATCAAGCCAAAAATGGAGTATCCTTGGGCAAGAGTTGCCCAGTCTTCACTTCCCAGTCTCAATAAAGCCTAAAAGTGTCTCTGCATCCTTCTGGGTGACAAATTATTTTTCACCCTACAATCCCTTTTTCATGGATGAAATGTTGCAAACCTCTCACTGCTTAATTGCTATTTCCATGGAAAGTGTTCAGGTGAACAATATTCCTTAGTTCCACCATTTTTAACATTCACGGAAAAACCCTACCATGCTACACACATTGTAGCAAACTATCTGAATTTCCCTTCATATTGCATTGGTGAGATGTAAGTTCCACTCAAGCAGCTTCTTCCCATGAACTGTTGCTTGGTGGAACTCGCAAGAGAATGTTTTCCCAGTCCCTACAATCTTAACCTGTTCTAGTTTAGGTTAACAATTATATTCCCCATGTATTCACATAAACTGTATCTCTTACTTTGTAACCCTCTACCTCAAGTGGCTCTCGATCCTTATATAGAGTGGAAATGATAAGAATCGTCATCATTATCATCATCAGTCCCATGACCACGTGTAGTTGTAGGTTCACTGAGTGCCTGACCAGTTTCCTGTATATATCTTGGGTTGAAATCTGAGGAATCATTCATTTATGCATAACATATCTTGGGCAATTAGACTTTTGTGAAGCTTATCCCTCTTCAGGTCAAGCCACATCTGATGTCTTCAAACTTGAAAGCTCATCTTGGTCACAGGTCAATTACTCCATCAGGAGAAGCCTTCACCCTGACCATGATTTTAATCTAGGAAACCCTACACCCAACAATACTTTTTTTTCACTTCATAGCTAGAAGAATATCAGTCTAACCTACTGGGCTAGATGGCCATTAACTCTACAAGAAGTTTTATCTGCTCTTTAACAGGTTTTGTTTTAATCCTGCTGGGTATCTAAACACCCTCCTCACCAGACAAGTCTAGTGGGGGAACTGGTTTAGTTGCTAATGATCTGACCATGCGGCAAGTAATACTGACTTACATGGTACCAGTTGCATTTGCAGAGTGACCTGGCATAAATTGATAAGAACACAAGACTAAATTTTTCATGCATAAAATAATTGTTTATTTACTTCTGGGCTCCATCAAATGAATGTTGGTCATTGTGGGTTTGTGGTTTCAGGGACTTCTTTTGAATTGTTGATTTTTCTTATATGAGGAGTTGAGGGACTCCCCACTCTGAAGTGAGTGTTTATATAATTTCCTGTCATCAGAAGTATATTTTAAGTTCAGCTGGTTCAGTTACTGTTTATGTTGACCCAATTCTGTACCTGGTGGCTATGAGGAACTTTCAAGATCCAATTCCACATGTAGTGGCTATGAGATTACCTTCAAGTTCCAATTCTGCACTTGGTGGCTATGAAGTCACTTTCAAATCCTAATTATACGCTTGGTAGCTGTGAGGTTACCTTCAAGATTTAGCTGGTTCAGTTACTGTTTATGTTGACCCAATTCTGTACATGATGGCTATGAGACACCTTCGTGTCCCAATTCCACACTTATTGGCTATAAGGTTACCTTCAAGTTCCAATTGCACACTTATTGGCTATGAGGTTACCTTCAAGATCCAATTCTGTACATGATGGCTATGAGGCACCTTCATGTCCCAATTCCACACTTATTGGCTATAAGGTTACCTTCAAGTTCCAATTCCACACTTATTGGCTATGAGGTTATCTTCAAGTGTTAATTCCACACTTATTGGCTATGAGGTTACCTTCAAGTGTCAATTCCACACTTATTGGCTATGAGGTTACCTTCAAGTGTCAATTCCACACTTATTGGCTATGAGGTTACCTTCAAGTGTCAATTCTGCACTTGGTGGTTATGAGGTAATGTTTTAGGTCAACTTTTGAGAAACCTGTTTTTTTTTTACCTTCTGTGTGTGACATTTGGTACAAAGCTTACTTTGGCATTGCCTAGGGTGAACTCAGTAGGTTTGAGGGGTCATCACAGATGAACTCTTCTTAGATCAATGGACATTAAATTTGATTCAGACCTCTGGCATATCTTGGGGTGAATCACATGCTTCACATTAATGGACCATATGGATACATATAAAGGGAAAGAAATAGGTTTCATTTTAAATTAGATAATGAAGGCCATAATCAAATCAATATAACACAGGCAACATGAAACATTGAAGCTAAAGATATATGTATGTTTAAATCACTGGGAATGTTTGAATGATATGAACACTTAACATGTAATTTAAGCTTTCAAAAACACTCTCTGGTACTGATAACTGGATATCATGCAAGGAGATATCAAAATGTGAATATCTTGCAAGTATATACCTAAGGAGGAATATCTTGCAGTGAAGTATCAAAGTGGATAACTTCCTAGAAATTTAATGGAGACTGTGCTGTTGTCGTTAATATTTTCAAAAGAAAAAAAGTTAATGAAAAAATTAAATGCATTATTACAATTTTAACAAAAATTCAAATTCAAATACTTGTGTTACATAATTTCTAGGAAATAAATTTCCAAGAAAAATACCTTTGCTCAAACACATCACAATGCTTGATTGGAATTTGCACTCACCTACTCACCTGGTGGTGATTTTTGGAACTCAGTTTTATGGATGATGAGATTAAAATTGAATTGTTTGGGTTTGAATTTAGTGTGGTGGAAAAGATCAAAAGTAATGAAGCCTGGGAAAACCATCACTAGTGCAAAATGTGAGAGGGTCAATCTTATGTTGGCCTAGGTGTAGAGTTGGTGGAAGTGGAATGGGCTGTTTGTTTAAAATCCTCAGAACCATGAAAAAAGAAGTGTACTGTGATATGTAAAGGGAAATGTGAAAGATTATGCCAGTTATGTTTTTGGAAGATAATGTTTCAAGTTCCAACATGACAATGATGTCCTGGTGAAAAATTGACTCAAAGACAAGATCGGGACTCTTCTGTAACCTGCAATTAGTCCAGACCAGAATCCAAGAGAAAATCTCTGGAAAGAACTTTAAATTAGGGCAGTCTTCAAATTTCAAAGTTAACACAGTTTGCTTTCAAAGAATGGAACAGTATAGCAATGGAAATTATGGTAGGTGATTGTAAATTACTGGTGAGTGAAAGATTAATTTGGTTTCAAAAGCAAAATACATCCTCTTTTTTAAAAAAAAAAATTAAAAAATAAAAATAAAGTATATAAGGCTTGAAGGCTTTACACTGATCAACTAATTGAATATAACCTACATTAAATTCGAACTAAGTGAAAAAGAAATTTGAAATTATTATCTTAGAAATGTGTCATGGCCAGGAGTTGGCATCTAACAGCAGCCAGACATTAATTTAAGAACTGATACTTACATAAAATGTACACATGCCAGACAACTTTCATAAGAAATAAAAATGTGGGTGGGGGTAGAGAGGTAATTTAACAGAATGCCTAACTAGTTATATGTTTTGTAGATTTCCTGCATAATTTTTTTTGTAGTTGATAAATAAGAGGTCTCTTTAAGAAACTAGTAAATAATCTAATCATATAGAATTATTTGGTAAATAATATGCAACAGTTTGATAAATATCATCCATATAAAATGTTAATAATACTAATCAATCAATGTAAAAATGTCAAAAATATTAACTAAATACCAATATACTCATATAAGATGTTAATAATACTACCAGGAGATCAATACAGAACTATATTAAGCCCAAATTAATCATATAGAAAGGTAAGCCATATATGGTGCAACACATTTCAACTAAAATCTAAGAAAAAACATTGTCAAATTTCAAAGTTTAACTGAATTGTAAGGTAAAATGTAGACTGTGTTTACAATTTACCATTAATTCGGTTCTTTGATTTAATAAGGTGTTTTTATCAAAAGACCTGATAATTTCCAATTTTGCATGTAAACACAGAAAACAGGGTTCATATAAGGATCTACATGTCCTTGCCATTTTAAAAATTTTCCATTTTACCTTAAGAGTTTTATTATCTTTTAAAGTCCAAAAATATTTAGAAATGGTGTATTATTTCTATAAGTATTATTGGTGAAGGACAAGATATGTTGATACCACCTAGTCTTAAAAGAATTCTTAGTACTACCAATATAGAATTTTTCAACCATCAGACTCTCTATTGTAGAGATAGTACTTATGTAAACAAGAGATTTAGTTAAACATTTATTTGGCAATAGACATAATTCCTACAATTACTAGTATCATTAATAATATTTATGTCGGAACATGCATTAAGATCCAGATTATTAAATTGGTTTAAAATTTTATTATTGTGTAACTTTATAATCTTCTCAAGATTATTGGTGCAGCTATAACTTAGTTTTAATGTGTTTCTGTTAAAGATTTTACCAAGAGGGTTACTTTTAGTGAAATGTTTATTAACTTCTGGCCTAACTTAGTACTGACCAATTGGCTAAATGGGTGTGTGTACCAAATGATCTTCCTATTTCTATTTCTTTTCTTTAGACTACTATCATCATATTTTCTCCACTTGATTTCAGCACTATTCTTTAAAACAGCATTATAAACATTACTATATTTATTAAACAGATCTTTGTCAGATGTGTGGTTGCTCATCCTATGTTCTACAGATGAAGGTATATGTTTGATTATAGATGGAGGGTGGTTAGAATTGGGGTGAATATAAATTGGGTTGGCATTATTTTTCATATAAGATTGGAATACATCATTAGCAAGATCCAATGTAACATCAAAAAAATCTACTTGTTTAACATTAGTACTTATCTTAACCTCAAGATTTAAACTTTTTAATTCTCTGAATCATTTTTCTTAATTTATCAACATTAATTTTAGTGGAATTTTTTACTACCATAAGACCATCACCTCTATATAAGCCTATATTATCAACATTGACATCATCATAGGCAGTACGGTT